GAAGCTCTCAGCAACTTTTGAGAGGGTGGGTGTTAGAGAGATTGGTCTTAAATCCTCATTGATGTTGCAGATAGAAGATGCCTTAGGCAGAGGACAGAAATTGGCAAGTTTCCATGCGTCAGGAACTTTACGTTGCAAGAACGAAGTATTTAGGATATCAGCAATTGGGGCCGCTAGAATATACGCAAAATTTTTAATTACCCAGTTAGGAAGGTTGTCGGGACCACTGGTACGAGAAGCATTTAGCTCTAAAAGCTTTCTTGCGACAGTGTGTTCAGTGACAGATATTGGTCGATCATCAGCCATTTCTACACGTATACAGTCTGACAGGGGTAAATAATCATTCATTATGTTGACAAACGCCGAATTGATGTTTTCAGCCAGAGATTCCTTGTCACAGACAAGGTTTGGATGGAGTAATGAGGTTAGGTCCCGTTTTGGAATTTTACTGGCGCCGGGTTGATATACTACAACTACTATGATATTTGAGATACCACGTGGTAAGCGTTTTGGTCGAAGATTAGCCCAAAGAACTTCATGATCACTGTGACTTAGATCTGCTAAGATCTTACAATGTATTGAATCTTTTACGTACATACATACGCCTCCATGAAGCCGGTTGACACGGTCTCTTCTATTAAGTTGGTAATGCTTGATATTAATAGAAATGTCAGGAACGGTATCACGCAACCAAGTTTCAGTTAATAGGGCAATATCGGCATCAACGATTTTGATGGTATAAGCGTTTTCATCGATTTTTGCAGCTAGCGACATCGTATTGGATAACAGAATTGACGGAACAAAATGTTTTAAGGACAGGCAATCATTTTTATTATTTTAACGGGAATTAGGTTATGAACATTTCGCGTACGTTTACCCATTGGGATTCTGGTATGAGGTTTGTGTATACGACGATTGGGGATTATTTTAATAGGTATATTAAAAGTGGCCTTGGCATTAATAGTAACAATGTTCGAACTTAAATTATTGTCGATTGTCTTAATTCTGTTCTCTGCGTTAATTTGTTTACAAGGATCAGGTAGTTTCCCCAGTCCGGTGGCCGATTTGGAGAGCAATTCTTCCGAACATTTTTCCGGTTATATGCAGAGGTATCTATATGTGATATGGGTTGTGGCATATAATTGCATCGCGTCGATTGATTTGACTAGATCTGGTGTTTTTGCGGTTTCGGGTTGATTTCCTTGTAGTTTTTTGGTGTGTTATTCCAGAATTATTATGGACATCTATCATTCTGTCGGTGTGAGAGTGCTTAGTACGATATTCCTTCAATTGATCATCAAACGATGGGGGCATAGTCGACGGACTATAATTTTGGTCAATGCCTGTACCGATCTCTTCGACTGTGGTGGAGTTTCCATTAGGTGAGGATAAGCCGGCTTGTTGATCATCCAAAATGGATATGACATTGGGATAGGAATTCGATAGGGTGTTATCAAGGCTAAGAGCCTCTGATGTTATACTGGCTTCCTCAACTGTGACGAAATGTTCTATACATGATTCGTCCTGAAAGTTACAAACTGCAAACGGATTTAGGCTTTGATGCTGTTGTTGATTAGGTTCTGTTGATGACGGGGTGATGCCGGATTGCCGGTTAGTTCGGTCAAGTGTTGAAGTTGGCGAGACGCTTGGTTGATCTGAGTGATTAACAAAAATTGCATTACACAAGGCTATCATAGTTTTCAGCCCTTTGCATAGTGTTTCGATAGTATTGATAAGACCATTGTTCTCATTAGCCGTTGTAACAATACTTTCTGCAATGTTATTGTTATTGGTGTTGTTGTTCTCGTTTGTGTTAACTAAACGATCGACCTGTTGAACAACTTCACCGAGCTGATTTTGAATAATGGCGAATTCTGCCTGAACTTGATTTATTGCATCGCCATTGATTCGAATTTTGTTATCAATCTTCGACTCGGAGATCACCAAATCGAGTTTTAAGCCCTCGAATTCAGTCGACAATTCATTACACCTGCTTGCACAACGCTCTCCGCTCTGGTTAGGATATTGAGTGAATTCGATATCCGTTTGAATGCCTACTTCACATGTATTTACACTACAAAGATGATCGGTGGAACGGCGCTTGGCTGGAGTAGATTCGTGATAAAAAATTTTCATTAATGTGCTCAATTGTTTGAGGTCTGACTTTAATTTATTTCCATCATATCTAACGAGAAACGACTGCAAGCCATGCAATCTTTGTCACATTCTGGATCGTTTAATTGATTGTATTCATCAGGATCTGATATTTTATTTACACTCAGATTAGTTAGTTTGTTCTTTAGTACAATTCCTAGTTGATCATGGAAGATTAGTGCTTTCTTGTGTGTATACCAGTTAACAGATATTAAATCATTCCGATATGATTTAGCACACTTGCCGACATCGCCGAATAGCGCGGACATAAACGCTTTTAAATCAGTCAAATTGCTCAGCCATTTCACCTTTCCATCGTTACTGCATTCTATAAACTCTTTAAAAATAAAGTAGACTTCGGAGAGTTTATATTCGAGCTTGATTTGTTGAGATTCAACGCTGTTAATTAAGTCTTGACCGGTTGCCATTTTGTCTGCTCTCTATTCCGTTCACATCCCAAGTTATATTTAGCTATGTGGTTAGTGTCAGGTTTAGAAGCGGCTGACAGTGCTTGGAGTCACTGAATGGCATTTAAACTGTATTTTGTTTCCACCAATAAGCTGTGTTTGTGCTACAAGCTCTTGCTTTAACCTTCATTTTGGTATAGTAAAATGTTTAGCCTATACTATGTCTGATTGACCTAGTCTGAGTATAATGCGATTGTTAGACTTGCCTTGACTTGTGACAGTGTAAACTGTGTAAACCAGTGAACACTATAAAAACTGGAACAATAACTCGGGTTGTGTTTTTGAAGTCAAGATGACGGAAATTGAAGCTCGTCTTGTAGATATGCCCTCAATTTCGTACCCAGAGTATGCCCGTTCGCAGGTAAGGTAATGGGCATGACTCTGGAGAAACGGAATGACATTTTCAATTTCATTGGCTGCCGTGAGATCGATTACGTGGAAATTCCTGAACACGACGTAAACAAAACGAAAGTACAAGAAATCGGACAATATTAATTAAAGTCGTTGAAATTACGTTTATTTGCAAGACTTGAAATACAAGTTAAATGTTACATTAATTCTGATTGAAGATTTACGTACGATCCGTACACTTTTGTATCTTATATCACGGCAAACACTTTTGTTGTTGTATAAAATACCGATATGGAGGCTGAATGATATGGCTGAATTCAAATAAAAGATATCAGGAAAGATATTATATTACTTCAAAACACGTAAATAAATTGAATTCAATTTAATATATAAGCATCCTATGGTTCTTTCGATATATTTTTACATTGTTAAATTATCGTTTCGCAAATTTATTGTGGATTGTTTTTCTTGGTGTAATCCACGTATATATACACTGATGTGTATCGTGGAATTTATCTTTTTGTATTCACTGGATATATTTGGAAATCTCTCTGATTTTTAAATTGTGTGTTCCTAGTCTTCTGTTAATATTAGACTTTATTTCCTTGAAGACAACTTGAATTATCGCGTATTGTACCTTATTTTGACCGTTGGGATTTTTGAATAATACGCGGCGTCTCAGTTACCGTGTTAACTAACTGTTTGTGTCTCGTTGTCATTTGGCCTTGAAGTTCGTCCTGAAACTTCGATTAGTCCTTCCTTAGTTGTCTATTGTTTCGTTGCAGGGCCGTAACTTCGGTATGACGGCTGGGGGAGTGTGAGCTTGTGGCCGTGGCCGAAGTCGTGCCCGACAGACATTACACTCGCCAATTAATATTTCTTTTCCCACAATCGTTTGCGAGCAGGAGGGAGATTTTCGGACACGCCATTTTTCACTAACTTTTGAACTAATGTACCGTAAATTGTACAATTTTTCAGTAATATTTTCGTAAATTTATAAACATTTTCTCTCCAACTATTACTTTTCAATCAATAAATGATGTAAATTTTTTTTGCTCAATTACATATTTTTTGCCCGACGAGCGTGTCGTTAAAATTGTTAAAATTGCCCGACGAAACTGCAATATTACAATATGGGGGGGGGGGGTACCCCCCAAACCCCCCTGTAGTTACTACTTACGCCCTGTTTGGTTGATCTCCGCAAATTGATGACTAAAGTTCTTTGTTAAACAATCTACATTAAAAGTTTGTTATATTTCTCAAGCGTAATAATATTTCCTGCGAGTTATATTGAATTACAATCGTCTAGTACTAGCTTGACCTCAATTAACCTATACGAGACCTTTGCTATCTATAGACATAATGCCGAGACATATCGCCTTCTGGCTTTCTTCACTCATGCTGATATTGCTCCTTTTCGTTGTCCTCAACTCGTGTAACTCATGGAACGTAGTCACTCCAGACGTATCGCTCGTGCTATCTATGGGTGCTGATATCGCAAGTTGTCCAAACAGGAATTGTGCATGTCCCCGTAAATCAAATCACTCGAATATATCACCATCCATTAATTAAAGTTAGAGCCGGAATTAAACTTCTAAACGCTGGTTTATGTGCTTACTCCCTTGTACTCCTAGTTGGAGACGTCAGCCGAAACTCTGGGCCTGCCAATATCTCTCAAGATTCGCTGAATTTAGTGAGATTGGTTTTACAAGTAATCGCGGACTTAAAATTTCACATCTAAATGTAAGAAGCATAACCAATAAGATAGATCCACTGCCCCTTCTTTTACAAAATAATTATATAATCCTTTCGATGTCCTGACCATCTCCGAAACCTGGTTAACCAAAAACCTATGTGATCCTGAAGTAAATATGCAAGGCTATTCTTTTGTCAGAAGTGGCCGTAAAAGCAAAAAAGGTGGTGTATGCACGATTTATATTCGTGATGGCTTACCCTATCGAGCACGGCCTGACTTGCAAGATGAGAACATGGAGTCTTGTGTCCTTGAACTCAATCGGCCGAAATGTAAAAACCTGCTCATCTGGTTAATCTATCGAACTCCTGATACACCATTACCCAATTTCATCGATACTTTAATTCAAAGATAACCTTACTTCCCCAGGACGCT